GCTTGTGAAGTCTGCAGGCTCACGTCCAGTTTTCAAATGGAGGCGTGGCCAAACAACGTCCAGACATCAAGGAGAGGACACAGGCTTTGATAGGCTGTGAAAAGATGCTGATTCTTACACCATCTTCATCCAAACCAACGCCTTCCTCATCCTAAAGAGACATTTTCATTTAATATCTTCATGTTGGATTGATTTTTATTGAATGCTTCTGTCCAACAGACTGACCTGTAGATCTGATGAGAGCAGGGTTCATGCAGGCTCTTAAAAAGTCAATTTTAGGACTAAAAAAGGTGTGAGGTTTACTTTCACATGCATGTTAGATTAACTGATGACTCTTCATCGTCTCCTGTGTCTGTGTGAAGGAGGGGCAACCTGTTCAGGGTGTACTAACCTGCACAGAAATGTGATGAAAGACTGAAAGAGCAGAGAGACAAAACAGTGCAGTTGTTTCTGAACAAGTTAATCCTGGTCTTTAGTGATGTCCTCTTCCATTGGGAGAACTGGTGGTTCAGTTCATTCATACTGTATGTCAAAGTGTCCTTGGGCACAAAATTGCCTCTGTCCCATCAGTGTATGAGTGTGACCAATCAGCAGTCTCTATAGAATATGTAGACAAAACTGTTGGTAGCCCTCGTTTAATGAAAGAAAAACCCACAATGGTCACAGAAATAACTAGAATCTGACAAAAGTAATAAATAAAATTTCTATAAAAATGAACAAATGAAATCAGACATGTCTTTTCCACCATGCATCAACAGAATTAAAAAAATAAAACCCATGAAACAGGCCTGATGGTACTGTAGAAAAAACTTGTTCAAAATGGTATGTCTTAATAAAACAGGAATCCACTGGAGTTATTTTTAAAGCTTTATTTTCAATCTTCTGACTCCAATCAGGTTCACAGTGCAGCACTCAGGCCTCAGCGTTAGGCCTAGTGAGGTATCCCAAATTCAAGATATATATATACACTCACCGGCCACTTTATTAGGTACACCACGCTAGTAACGGTTTTGTGGTCATAAAGGGATGGACATGGTCAGCAACAATACT